GGCGAAGGAGTGCGAGGGCGTGATGTTGAGCCAGGCCTTCATTCCGTTTATTTGCACGACAGGGCTTGTTGCTGGATGGCCCCCGGCCATCCGCATTTTAGGTTTTAGTTGGTTGAGTGGTAGGCTTTCCATTTAACCCACAAGCTCAGCTTTTAGCAGGGGATCTGAGGACAGCCCAGGTTGGATTTCTTCCAAAACGGGGCCCCCAATATCCAAAAAAGAGGACTTGCCTTCCCAGGCCCTCGTTAAACCGCTTTTTCATTTCTTTCGGCTTGAAAGTCCAAGCGTATTTGGCCTTCCTAGCGTTTGGCACTTACCTAGCTCCCTACGCAGAATCTGGTGCTTCAAGTGTAATAATTGAAGGCCAAACGTTATGTTCAAACCCTTGCAAGGGTTTCTTCATCCAAGCCACGGAAAAAGTGTCCACCAATGCACTTAGACCTTCCCGTAGGTTGCGCAAGGCCCGCGAATTCCGGTCGCCAAGGGTCCGTGTTACGCTGAAGGGTTAAAGGGACCAAAGCCCGCGACAGATGCCGCTTTGAGCGGTCTGAAGCTAGCTTGTTTCTGCTGAGACGATTTTCAAAATTTGCTGGTGCGATAGGCAGGGAACCCAAGAAAATCCATCCAACTGGTGGTGTCCTTTAAGAGAACCAAAGCGTGGGTTCATTCCATGTCTCAGTCCCCAACTATCGCACCAAGCAAATGTAGCAGCTGATGCTTCAGCCCAATCCGAATGCAGGCGCAGGGCACCTGCCAGAACTTCTGCCAAGAGGCGCCTCGCAGCTTTAACTCAGTTGGGTTCAAAGCGAATCGACCGGATCTCACCTTTCGCCCCGAGTTCATGGGCTTCATGTTCTTCTTTTTTTTTTTTGGGGGGGGGGAAGACCATTTTAGTGGTACATAAAAAGTTGGGACCTTTTTTTGGGCCACCCACTCGGGAAGTGAGCTTGGTTGTCCAGCTTTGGTCCATATGTCATGGCCCCAAAAGGGGATCGCCTTTTCTTGCTGGGCTCTTCGGGCAACTGGGCTAAAGTTCTTTACGTTGAGTTGCAAGCGGCTTAGCAGTTTGAGCCATTGAAACTTGTCGGTCTGCTTGAGCGCGAAGCAACTGTTCATAATGTCCAGGCTGTTTGGCAGCGATTATCAACCTTTCCAGCGTCAGCTTTAAACATTTTGAGCTTAGCCGCAATCAACATCAGGGTAGATGAAGGTTAGCAAGGCATAGTCCCAACCATAAATGGGGGCGGGGGCGCCTTTCTAACTATTTACATGGTTTTGGGTAGGCCATATTGCCGGTTTTGGCTCTGACTCGAATTCATTTGTTGACCTTGCAACCTTTCGACCTTGGATTCAGCGCTTTTTCAAATTGACAGAAGTCTCCCCACTCAATTACAAACACGTTGAGCATGTTTAGCCTTGACTTGTTCGGAGCTTTGTTACCCAGCCAACTTGAATTTTGTTTGATCGATCACTGACTCAACGCAGTTCACTTTCCGTTTGCAAAACTTTGATGTGGCTATGCCATTTATTGGGAAGAAGCTCCCAACTGGTTGGTGGACATAAATCCCCGCCTAAATGATGTCAGCAGGGGTTCCCAGATTGCCGGTTGTGACTTGTTGGTTGTTCTTATTCTAGGGGGCCGCTGCAAAGAACCGGTGATTTGCCGATATAGCAGCAACTGCTGGACAATTTGCGGTTTGCTGCTATGCTCTTACAACCGTCCAAAGACTGCGTTCTGTGCAAACAAACACACTTGGGTCCTTGAAGGGTGCCCTCGGCGGGATTGCCCTTCAGGGAAGCCGCCAACCAGGAAGCCGCCAACCAGGGTGGTCTCTGATTCCTTAGGAGTTTGAACAGGGAGCCACCGAACCCATGGGTGGACATGAATCCCCAGGAGAACCACATTTCGGCTCCCTCAAATTTGTTTATGCCATTTCAGGACTTCGAGACAAACCCACCTCCGGTCAGGAAAGCTGGGCATGGGCAGCTCCACTTGGCGGGGTCATTCTCCGACTGTGTTAGAAATGTTTGCTCGAAAAGGTGGTCCCGGTTTTGTTTCATTTTGTAGGGGCACTTCTGTGTGTGTTTGCGTATGTGTGGGTGTGTTTGTGCTCGCGGACCGCTTTTCAAAGGAAACTGGCTCACCCGAAGTTGCGTGGAGTCAAGTGCTCAATTTGACGTGCAAGAACAATGATCAGACAAAAAATAGGTTCTGAATTTCAATAAGGAATACCCTCCAAAATGGTTGGTGGGCCTAAATCCTCCAAGTGTCGACCATTTCGTGTCCTGCAAGTTCATGGCTTGGAGTTCAAGAGGCCATCGACGTCTGAGGTTCAGGCGTTGAGCGAGGAGCGCCAGAACTGTGTGCTCTTCGCGCGGCGTTGGCACTTGCTGGGCCGCTGGGCCGCTCAGCTCTTCGCAACTCGACCAAAAGATACTTCAGTCTGGGGGAGGGGCTCGCTCACGCGTCCAGGTTTGCCACCCAAACAAACAACTGGCAGTTGCTTAAGGATATGTGTTTGCCTTGAAAGTTGGAAGGGGCAAAGTTTTGTTCTTTCATTTGAGCAAGAACATGATGGTCATTGGGAGTTTTTGACTTTCAAGGGAATCTATCACTACTGGCAATATATTTGTTTTTAGGCTTAAGCAAATGGAGGACAAGTGACTGGAAACGATGACATGGAGCTTCATGGTGAGCTATCGTGGGATCCCCTGGTTTCTTCCAAGGCCTTGTCAGGTTCGGGTTGGGGAAAGGGGAATTTGGAATTTGGATCCATGACAACCAGGCTTTGTGCCCTTTCAGAGTTGCTCAAGTGGACATCCATACCAAAAACCAGGTTTTGACATGTTTTGACAAAACATAGAGAAACTAAGACACAGCAAGGAATCGGGAAATCAAGAGCTTTCCCCACAAAATGGTAAAGGACGAGATACAAGTACATAGGTAAGATAAGGGTTTAACCCGAACTGCTAGCTTAGTAGGGATATGAACGTCATAAGTTGCCCCAATTAATAAAATTTCAATTAATGCAGATCAAAATTCAAGGACATAGGGATATCATGAGCTCCATTTCGCAAAAAGACGACGACAGAGACACTTGTGTTTTTTCAAGCTGAACGCGGGGACACCAGGTCAGACACAATCGAAATCAGAGTGTTTGAAAGGACCATTTCCAACCAGAAAGGGTGGCATGTTTGATTTGTAGATCCTACATTTTGGGCAGACTCCAATAAAAGTTGATGCTTCAGGTGCTGGTTGCTTCCGGGCTGCGGAACCATTTTGCTGATTCCCTTGAAGGAACCTATAGGTTGGATGGTTAAGAGTTGTCTTTCCATTTCGTATCCCTGCCTATCAAACCAGCAAGCTACTGAGGGAGTAGCAGCAACCAGTGTTTGTTTCCCTCATTCCATATTGACGGCGCTGTTACATGCGGCGTGATCCCGTCGGTGGACGAAGCCCTGTGCGAATCTTTGTTTTGTTTCCCAACTCAGAGCCCTTAAGCAACCGTTTAACAGCTCAGGCGGGGCCAGGGATCAAGACAACCCAGGTGTTCAGTGGCACCGATTATTTTTCCCTTGGTGGGTGGTTCCGTGCCCAGCAAAAAATCCGCCAACCAAAACGGGCCTCTGACTGCAGCGAGGACAGCGCGCGAGACGTGCAGCAGGACCAAGGGCGCATGGACCAGCTCTTTGCTAAGAAGACCTGTGCGCAGGTACTGCAGAGCGTGGACAAGAGCAACCCAGTTGCAACCGGCGCTTTTTTGTTCACAACGCTATCGTTTTCCAGACACCGATCAGTCTTCGTCTTCAAGGGCGTGTTGTTGGTTGTTTTGTTGAGGGCGGGGGGGTTGCCCAAACGGACCGTTTTTGCTTCAACTCTGGTTCAACAACTATTGGTTGGATCTAATATGACGCTTGTGACCATTGGCTGAGTGTTTTCAAGGTGCTGTTCAGAGGGGCAAATGGCCATGGCTGGTCTTTGGTAGAACTGAACAAAACACTTTAGATCGTTTGCAGCTTGGAGTTTCATTTGAACCTGCAAAAAGTATATCGATGGTTTACGGGGGAAGACCCACCCCATTGCAACTCGTGGATTCTTGGCCCCCTTGTCAAGGAGCAAGACTTGTTTTGGGTGCCTGTCCCTCGACTTTGGACGGGATTCACTTGCACAAACCCCATCCCATGGAAAATTAGTCCGTCGTCTTCTTTGCTAGTCCGGTGGGAAAGCAGAGGCTCGCCCAGTTGCAACCCAAAAGACGTCAACCTCTTTCTCAGGTTGAAAGTGGCCAAAATTGATTCTTCAGGGAAGTGCCAATCTCCTCCCAGGGTCAGTAGATGTTCGTCCCCTTCTCTCCTTGTTTTTTTCTTTTGCGGGGGGCGGACCCAGAGAAGCCCTTTTTGGGCATTGGTGATGCCTCTTTTGGTGTTGTATGTTTTTCCGGGTTTGAACTTGTTGAAGCCTTTTTTGTGATTTCCCGCTTCATGGCAATACCTCTTTCCCAGAGGCAACCAGATCGTGGATACGCTGTGCTCTGTGGCAGCGGTGCTCGCGGTGCTCGCGGCCTTTGCAGCGATTGCGCATGGCCTGCAAGAGGCGCCCAAGGAGCGCAGGGATTAGCCCAAGCGCCTCGCGCGAGCGCGCGGCTTGCGCAGCTGAGGTGCGAGCGATAGAAACCCTCAAGGGTCGTGTAGGAAGCCGGGGTTCCCTGATGTGCGGGCTGGGAGTGAAGGTAACAGGGGCAAAGTAAAATACAAATACTTTACCTCTGTAACAAAGTAAATTGCCAATGTGTTGCCCCAAAGCCTTTAACCATAACAGAAGCATAGTGTTGCAGTACCCCACAAACCTGTTCTAATCATATAATTAGGCCCTTGTATCAACTGCACAGACTAGCTACCCTCCAATGGCCCAGGGGAACGCGATCAAAAAGCAAAGGTACTGTCAAAGATGGACGGCGCAGTGCGCCGTGTTCGGAGTGGGCTGACACCTTCCGAAGGTGGAACCCTTTTGTGGGCCTTTTGCAAAAATGGAATCGACCCTCCAAAATGGTTGGTTTCCTTTTGGTGTTTGTTTGGGTACTAAAACGGGTCCACCATATTCAGAGAAAAAAAACCAACAAGGCGAACGTCAACCCTCCAAATACCAGTTGCCAGCGTCAGGATGTACAGGTCGCGACGCCGGCAATTTATCTTATACCAGGAAGGTGCGCAGCAAAAGTGGTCCGGTTCTGTGCAGGGTTTGACCGCTCCGCAAGTAGATGAGTTCCATCCCATCCCATCCTGGGGAACCAAAGGCGGCTTTTTGACACGGCTGGGCTGGTTCCATGGCTTGAGGGCTTGGGGACAGAGGTCATGTTCTGGCCGTGTTTTTGTTGCTTGGGGGGGAAATCCGATAAGACATCAAGCATTTGGGGGTTCCCTCGTTGAACCATTAGATGTGCAAAGTACCAGACAACTGAATTTGTGGGGGTAGGCAGGGCCGGTTCATTGTCTAGGGTTTGGGGACCATGTTTTACCCAGACTTGTGCCCTTTGAGTTTCACTTCGATCAACCAAACAAGGGTGTCCTTGTTCTTTTCGGCCGCAGGTCCGGGAGTGATGGACTGATCGTCCGCCTGGCTATTCTGAGTCCCCCTGCCGAATTTGGGGATTGATACATGGGATGACCCTTGGGAAAAAAAAAGGATGAGATTTCCCATTTGGAGGCCGAACGCTCCGTTCCGTTCCCTTTATCCCGCAGAGGAAATTAAATCGGGGACCCCCCTTTCCACCCCACCCGCAGCCGCTTACCCGCAGTTCGGCGTACCTTCGCGTGAACTTCCAGTCCAATGCAGGGAATTGTTGCCACCAAGCGGAAACGGTGACTGTCACATATAGAAAAAAGAAGACAACCGCTAGGTTTGCTTAATTCTCTTGCATCCTTGCAAGGACAGATCATTGATGCCAAAAGCGCCACCCTTTTGACCTAAAGTTTAGGCCCCTGAGGGCCTTTCCACCTTCAATGCTCACGGTGTCCCCTTTTCGGATGTTTCTGGCGAAGTGAAGGAGAGCTTCCGAGCGCAGCCTTTTTGCCGGGGCACAGCTTCAAGAGCTGTTTGACCATGTCGCCCCAGAGCAGTCGGGCCGTGAAAACGGGGGTCTTTAGCAGTGGGTTCTCCAGGGCTCCCGGGATTTCCAGTTTTGGTGGTTTTACACATCACCTGTGTGGCCCGAGGTGAGCGTCCCTGGAAGTGATGTTCCAAGGGAAAATATAGGGAGCCCCCGAGCTCCCCATAAGCCATCCCTATGGTTTCCTTTAAGGGAATCCCCAGGCCCCAGGTTCATTCCCGCATTCCCTGCTGAGCACCAGCAAGAAACGGGCTTAGGCCTTGAATGTTTGACCCGAGGTTCATCTCCCAGCTGCTGGAGCAGCAGGGCCTGGCCCTGATGCACGCCAGCGCCGAGCTGCGGGCAGACAGGCGCGCTCGAATCGACCCGATGCCACGGAGAGCGCCCAAGAAACCGACGCATTTTCTTCTAAGGGCCATTTGGGTGAGTTCCACTGATTTTTTGGGGGTTCGGTTGGTTTCGTTGGGGTGTCATTGTTCTATTGGTTTGTACCTCATTGGCAATCTTGCGTGATTGGGGATGCGAGAGATGAATCGTTGGAAGCGTCTTGGAAGCAAACATCAATAGGATTTGGGCATTGATTTCAGTATATAGGCCAGTGTTGCCTTTGTTTCTTCCTTTGCTTTTTTTAGGGACTCCATTTAAACTATGAATGTTTTTCCTGTGGACGGGTCTGTCAACGTTGGCTTCTCATTCAGATCCAGCGATCACCATGTTTTTTTCTGCATCCCCACCCCCCACCCCCAGAGGTGTTCTCTGAAAACGTCGCTCAAGTGGTGTCCGACGTGGCTCAGGCGAAACTTGCCTACTCTGTATCGTATAGTGCGAAGTTACAAGGACACAACCGGATTTCAACCCAATACAGCCCAAAAGCGTGGTACGTTTCATACTGCGCGTGGACGAACTCCGGCACCTCCTAAGAAACCCTGGAATGAGGATCCCCCTGTAAATTCCAACAAACAATGATTTCCCATAGTCTCAAGGATTTCGTCCATCCGTAGTACGTGCATCGTTGTGGCCGATAGCTCATGGACTGACTACCTAGAACATGTCCACACCGCTCATGACATGTTTCGGGGGATCAGACAAGCCAAATGCCGCCAACAAGAAAGGGCGCCCAGAAGAGTACAGGCATGCTGAGACGGCGAGCTTGGGCATCTCAATCCCACCGCCAGAAAATGGCTCCAGACCCGCGCTGAAATCAAAGATGTGTGAAGTGACATCGGCAGGGAATCAACCCCTAGAACCTATGTGATTCGTTGTTCCTTTGGTTTCCCCTTCAAGCCCAGCAAAAACTCGAGCGCCCGGTGCAATCGGTGCAGCCGTCGCAGAGTCCGCAGGCTGTTGGTCTTGCAAGCCGTTCGTCAGCACGGGGGCGCCCTCGCCTATGCGAACCCTACCCTGCGCTCCGACCGAGGCGAGATGAAAAGATCGGAGATCATGCGGTTGCCGGTTCGTTGTGAAGGGGGGGAGCCAACAGCGGATGGTGTTCTGTTGAATGGGGACCAGTTAGGTAAGCCCAGTTTCGTTCGCCTCTGAATTTGGCCAGTTTTCTACAAATCTCTCTCTCTCTCTCTCTCTCTCTCTCTCTCTCTCTCTCTCTCTTGGGCGGATTCCCTTCCTAAACGTGGAATCGACCCCAAAAAACGGGGTTCCATGGGGAGAGCATGGGTATGTGTCCAAAATGTTTTTTTCTTCTTTTGTTTTCTTTGTCGGTTTAAATCGGCTTCTAAGTCGTCCTTGAAAAACTGTTTTCTTTTCGGTTGTCCTTCAAAACCGTCCCTAATCCGACTCGAATTTTGTGCGATCCACAAATTGAAGCATGCTTTGCAGGTGCGACGAAAGTCATATCATAGGTTTCAAGGCTTTCTGGTTTTGCGATTCGAATTGTGTAGCGGCGTTCCTTCACTGAAACGAGATCCAGTCTCATGCAGCCAGATGTTTGCATGGCTGTCTCGAGCTGACAAAGATTGGCTTCAGTTTGTATCGTCCCCCGAGAAAAGACTCGGGCTACATTTTTTTTCTGGAGTCAAATGAGGTGCAAACTCGGGCAAGCGGTTGGTTTGGTGTCAGGTGTTCACTTGGAAAGCAAAAAGGCCCGAGTTTCCTTTTCTGTTCCGTACCAAGTTGGACTCGCTCATGAAGTGACTTGCCAGACGTGGTTCCATCCCACTTATCATTCACAGAAGGGTTGCCCGCCCAAGACTCGGGAGGCAAAGAAGCTAAGGGAAGCTGCCTATCAGCTTCCATTTGGTTAAGAATATGTCGTTGGTTTTAAAGGGAATCTATCACTACTGGACATATTTTATCATTTTCCCAGCAAACAAAAAAGCAAATGGAGGTCAGCTTCTGAGTGGTTGCGTTTTGTTTTTTTTGTGAACCCTGGGAGAGCGCACTGTCCAGCTGTTTGCCGACACTCGTCTTTCAAGAGGTCGTTCCAATCCCAAAGTTCAAAGGTTTGCGCAGCAGACTTGCGAACCCAAGACGGGGATCCACAAGATCCCTCTCAAAACTAATTTCTTTAGGTTCCCTGCCTATGCTCAGTAGTGTATTTCTCCAGGGATTTCTATAGGTTGATTCTCGGTTCTTTTCAACCTGCCCTTGCCCCGTAGTTTTTTGGATGGTTGCCGCAAAGGAAAACACAATGATCGGTGGAAAGCACGGTGGCCTCAGCAGGGTAGATCCCAGCATTTGGAGCAACGGGTTGGACCCTCTTTTCCGCCCACTCCACCAGGGTGTGGTCGTTTCATATGTGAAACCGCTTGAGCCTCAGCTTTTGGATCCCTTTGGTTTCCTTCATTGGTTCTCTGGTTTGTTTAAACCAATCTGCCCCATGGTTGTCAATCTCATATCAGAGCACCCTCCTAGGGCTCGGAGGCTCCCTTTCCAGCTTTTGGGCCGGAAACCCAGCGCTCCCCAGTTGCCCACCACTCAAGTAGGCCAGCCATTTTTCCCTTAAACCAAAGGAAGACGGCTGGTTTCATTGGCGACTCATAGAGGAAATGGACTGATCCACGGGAAAAGAGAGTCCCTTCTCGTGGAAATCCACCCGCCACTGTCTTTCGGCGGCTGTGTAGGCCTTGCCTTGGAAGCAGTCCAGCGCAGCGGACTAGCGCTGCAGCAAGGGAACCCAGAAATCTGCTCGCGCGTGATTCGGATTGGTGGGTTCCCCAGATCAGCTGTGTGTAGCTGTGATTCGGATCTTTTTTTGGGGATGCCTGGAGTCTCCTTCTGAGCCTTTGAAAAATTGTTGCATTCTCCAAACTAAAGGGCCACGAACCCATTTTTGAAGGGTCGCGGAGGGAACTGAGGTGGGCTCACGGCCTGAGGCATGTTGGGTTCGATCCCTACCTTTCAATGGAGATCTTGGAACGGGCCTTAGCCAACTCGGAATCGAAGTCAATGGGCAGACCTGGGCCTTCGGCAGCTTGGATTTTGCTGGGGGGAGGGTAACAAACCCCAGTTGGTCGGTCCTGGTTCTATACAGATAAATGGGTGTGTCTTGTTTGAGTGTACTGTTTGCTTCTGCTTTGAAAGGAACACAAGCAGGAAAGCCTTTGGGGGTCCGACTCCCAAAACCGACACCCAAATGTTGGAGGACCAAGAAGCAGAGGTCTAAAATGATTTCGTCTCCC